ATCCCTAAGGGGCAGTTTGTGAGACTGAGACGGAACTGCACCTTTAAGAATGATTATTTGAAACAAGCAGAAATGCTGGGGTCAAGGTTTATACAAAAAGGGTACCCTGAAGACAGGATACTATCAGAAATAGATAAAGTAGGTAATATTAATAGAGAGCATTTTTTAAGGGATAATAGTAAAAATGAAAAAGCAGACTTCCAAATTGCGGTTGTGTTGGATTTTAATACACATTTTAAAAAGGTAGAGAGCATTTATAGGAAGCATTGGGGTATTTTGAAGTTGGACCCTGTATTAGGGGGGTCATTATCGGAAACTCCGAGATTTATCTACAGAAAAGCTCCTACAATAAGATCAAAGGTGGTTAAGAATGTTTTAGATCCCCCAATAAAGAATCATATTACTTTCCTGAACGAAAAAGGTTTTTTTCCGTGTAAGAATTGTTTCGCTTGTGTAGCTACTGGACGACTAAATAGAAGACGTAAGGATTTCATTGCCACCTCCACTGGTCAGAAATATGACATTAAAGATTTTATTACATGTAGGTCTGAAGGGCTCCCACTTTTGAAGGTTCCTGCTGGTTTGGAGTGATGTGTGATTACCCCCTCCCCCGCTGATGATTTTCCTGGTGGATGACTTACGAATGTACCTGGATTGATGACATCTGGTGGCTAACCTGCAGATGACATCCTCCTGAAACCACAAGTCCAGAGCACCAGGAGCGGGTCTTAATTGCTCCATGCGCACTTTATGCGCTATCTGGTTAGTGCATTATTTGTACAATTACAGGATCACTAGAGTCACGATTATCTCTGATCATGGATCACTTGGACAATTGCACCTATCACTTTATCCCACCATGTAATATGGACTGAGTTTTTTCATCTATGCTAGTGTGCAACCTATGTTCTGATTTTCCGTTTGTTTTCATTAAGTTTTATTAGCGCTGCATATATTTTTCTACAAGGGTTATCTTACTACTTCACCGATCTGAAACGGATCAGTTTAGTCGTGGGGCCCTGGTGGTATTGGGTAGGGTTCCGGGTTTTCCTCTATGTCCGATCGCTATAATGCTCGCTTGGTTGAAACTTCGGCCCTTGAGGCCCAGGCCTTTTTTGAGACATGTGGATAGCTCCTCGTTGTCCCGCTTTCAGTTTATTGCAGTGTTCAGTGTCCTATCTTTTCGGATAGGGGCTGCCACGAAGGCTGCCCGGTGGGGGTTGGGTGACCAGGTTCTGCAGTGGATTGGTCGGTGGGAATCCCAACGCTTTTGTTTATATGTTCGTCCGCAACTCCTGTAGTTATGGCTCCATGTTGTGTTTTTTCCTTCCTGGCACATTGTGTGTACTGTGATCTGTTACGTGTTGTTGTTCTGGGGCCATATTGTTGTTTAGTGTGTCGCATTTCATACACTATTTGTTTGGTTTCTATGTTGCATCACCGTGGTTTATGGGTCTTTGGGCTGCTGTTGTTTTTGTTTTTCAGACTTTTGCTTAATGTGGTTTCTCGGGCACTCCTATGTGTTTTGGGGAGCTAAGAGGGCTGCGGTCCAGCATGAGGGCAGGTAGTTGGGTTTTCATCGCAGTGCAGCCAGGTCAGGTGGATTGGGCTTCCGGGCATGCTGTGGTCTCGAGTTCTACCGAAGGTTTAACGTTATGCCAGACTGGATCGGCCTCCGAATGTTCTGTTGTTGCACGTAGGTGGGAATGATTTGGGTTTGTGGTCCACGAGGGATTTGATCCGGGACTTAAAGCTGGATTTTTTCCGCTTGCGCACGTCCTTTCCAGGCATGGTTTTGGTGTGGTCTGATATTATTGGAAGGTCTGCTTGGAGCAGTGCGTGCTCGGTGGCCAGGCTTAACAAGGCGAAAATTAGGGTCAGCAGGGAGGTGGCTAAATTCTTTTGCAGGAATGGTGGTTTGGTGGCTCAGCATGCAGAGTTGGAGGGAGATAACTGGATTTATTTGAGAGGCGATGGGGTGCATTTGTCTGCTGTGGGCTCCGATATGTGGTTTTTGAACTTGCAAGAGGGCTTGCAGAGGGCTTTACGATTGTGGCGGGCTGCCCAGGCATGAGGTTTCATGCTTGGACTTCTACGGCAAGGGTCTCAGGTTCGTGTAGGCCAGCATGGTAAAAACAGTATGTGGAGTGCAATGGGTAGGGCCCATCTCGCTATGGGTATACCTTCCCTATTGAAGTGACATCAGTTGGGCTATCGGTCATCGGGCTGCATCGGGTGTCAGAAGGGTCAACAATTTGTCCCTGAGACTGTGTAATTGCAGCTAGGGGATGGAATAGGAATGATAGGTGGATAATACAGCCGACGCGGTAGTGAAAAAGAGGCCTTCATGAACCTGAGACAAAAGGAGAGGATCAGTTATGTATTTTATTGCTGTAAAGATTGTTGTAAGAATTTGTTATTAAAAACTGACTATGTTAATTTATGGTTTGTTAATAAAACAGGCTACTATGGCCATTTTTGAAATCCAAGTTAAGTGTTTGTGTCATTTTTATTAAAGTTAATGGTACATGGGTTATGGTAAGGTTTCATGGCACCCGCAACATCAGCAATACTTCAGTCATGTAAACATCACTGGCTCATACATGTACCTGTAAAAAAAGATTACCCCCAGAAAAGGCAATGTATTTGATTCATAGCACAGCTTCTTTACAAATGCTTTTTAGAACCATATACACAGTTCATTATTAATAGCAAATTAGTAAGAAAAAAAAAGAACCCCAAAAAGATATAAAAGACATACATTTTTGGCTTGTGTAAATGAAACGTTGCTGTTAAATGCAAACTTTTACATTCAAAAGCAGTACAGCTTAAATATATAATAAAGAGAGTCTTATGCACTTCCAAGGGGATGAAACCTATGCTAAAAGCTTCAAGCACACAGTGCACCTCCACTCAATAGACCAATAAACAAATAAAAAAAGTGCTGCGCTATAACCTACAATACAGTATGCCGAAAACCTAAATAGTCAATATATAAATGTGAAAAATAAATGTGAAATATAAACATCTGACAGAGTCTCCCTCAAGGGCTATGAACACAGTGTCAGTGTAAAGTGTAAAAGCTAAATAACCCTGTGTAAAATACATAAACAAGGTGAAAACAATAAAGTATAAACAATGAATGAACAACCGGCTGACACTGGTATTGACAGTATAGTAAACACCCGGGTAACCAATAATTCTTAGCCGTGCAGGTGAATATAGGTGCTTAACATGAATTAACAATGACAAAGTGATCAAATAAATAATATAACAAAGTGATCAACTAAAGAGAAAATGAAGGTGATCAATACACCATAACAGTCCCATGTAATTTTAAAAAGTCCTACTCAAAATTCCAATAGTAAGCCAGTGATCAAAGGATCTATTTCTTGATACACCTCTGTGTCACCACCACCAGGCATGCACTCACCTCCATGAATTGAACAATGGTCAAAAAAGTGCTCAATCCAATTTCTCAATCCTCTGTGTAATCAGGCTGGTGGGCATCAACCTCCTACTCAAGGCTAATGGGCATCTCTTCCAGACAGTGACCAATTGCAGAATGCGCTCAAATATAAAGAGAAGGGCCTCTAATAGTGCACACAATTTTTTATTTTTCCACACACAAAATGAAATCGCACTCACATGAGGATATGAAGATTGAGCGCAGATTACAGATCCCCCTCAGCACAGACCCCTCATCACAGATCCCCTCCATGACAGACCCCTCAGCACAGATCCCCCTCAGCAAAGATCCCCTCCATCACAGATCCCCTCCATCACAGATCCCCCATTACAGATCCCTCATCACAGACCCCCCTCATCACAGGCCCCTCTCATTACAGATCCCCTCCATCACAGACCCCCTCAGTACAGATCTGCTCCATCACAGACCTCTCATCACAGAACCCCCTCATTACAGATTCCCCTCAGCACAGACCCCTCATCACACATCCCTTCAGCACAGATCCCCTCCATCATAGACCCCTCAGCACAGATCTCCTCAATCACAGACCCCTCATCACAGATCCCCTCCATGACAGACCCCTCAGCACAGAACCCCCCCCCCTCCATCACAGATCCCCCTCAATCACAGATCCCCTTAATCACAGTCCCATCGCACAGACCCCTCATAACAGATCCCTCCATCACAGATCCCCCTCATCACAGATCCCTTCCATCACAGATCCCCTCCATTACGGATCCCTCATCACAGACCCCCCCCCTCATCACAGGACCCTCTCATTACAGATCCCCTCCATCACAGACCCCTCAGCACAGATCTCCTCCATTACAGATCCCCCTCATTACAGATCCCCCTTAGCACAGACCCCCTCCATCATAGATACCCTCCATCACAGACCTCCCTACACAGATCCTCATCACAGGCCCCTCTCATCACAGATCCCCTCCATCACAGACCACTCAGCACAGACCCCCCCCCCAATCACAGATCCCCCCCATCACAGACCCCCAATCACTGACCCTCCCTCATAACATTATAACCAACCTTTTCTATCAAACAATTATAAATCACTCCTATTTAATCCCAACATGAATAAATAAATCATAAACTAATCCAAATAAATCTAAATAATAAATTAAAATACAATAAAAAATTTATAAAAATATAAAAATGTCCCAAAAAAAACAATAAGTCCAAAATTAAAGTCCAATCAATAGTCCAAAAGGAACTCTTTCTAAATCCAGTGTTGAAATTCCAATTCTTATCACTCTTCGTGAACCTCAAAAAAATAAAACTATAATAGTGTATTACCTTCTACCAATAAATAATGAACGTGAAAATACAATATCTGTGCAAATAATAAGTGCACCAAAATACATAAATTCAACTGTGAACAAACAAAGTGTATCATGCAAACGGCATATTGTGTACACTCTAATCACAAGTGAAAAAACACAGAACACAGCAAGAAAGAAAAAAAATAAAATATAAATATATATATACTGTATATATAATAAAATTCCTAAATCCAAATATATATTATACACCCAATCAGTATTCGTGAACATTGGAGTTTAATGCACAAGTGTCTGGAAAGCATGTGGGTAAAAAGCAACTATTTACAAAAAACACATATATAGTACAAAAAAAATCCAATAATCTACACTGAATTTAATTATCTAAACTTGAGCAGCAGTAGATACGTTTTTAGTGTTGCTGGAAATTCTACTTTTTCGCATAGACCTTTAAAGGATAAGTTCACCTTTTTTTTTCTAAATTCCAGCTCCCCTATGTACCATTTCATTAATGTACTTCTGCAGAAATTCCAAAGCTTTCCATTTTGTCTACCCACCTTTATGTCACCGTCCAGATGGCTGTCCAAAAGTTTATCCATTATTTCTGCCTTATTTCCTGCAGAGATTCCTGCAGAAACTTAACCAGCTGACCTCACCTGGAAATGTACAATCAGATTGCATAGTGTATGGCCATCTTTATACAAGTACATAGGAGGGAGTGGATGGATACACTCAGCTGTCAAGCCCCGTTCACAATTCTGTGTAGCGGGAACTCACATTCACATGTTTTTTTGGGCGGTTTGGAGCATTTTTGCTTGTCATGTGAATGGGCTGCTGTGCACTCAATAGTCATCGCAAAGAAGCTCCAGAACTTGAAAGTAGTGCTTTTTCTACTGTAAAATTTGCTGACGTGCATTTCTGAAATGTAAGGCAAAGCATGTATTTTCTCTGTAGTTTGCCATGTGTTCGGAAACACACAGATGTGAATGGAGCCTCGTTGTTCTTGTGTAAACACACCAATTTCACTTTCAGGCCCCATTCACATCTAGCATAGTGGGAGCGCACGTTTTTTGCCCTGTGACACGCATAGGGACGTTGTTGATTTCAATGGGCTGTGCTACATGTGGCTCATGGAACATTTTGGCGTGATGTGGGTTGTGCATTTTTTACTATGCATTTTGGGGCAATTGCCACTCGTTTTTTCACATGGAAAATTGTTTTTGCTTCTGTGTTTGGTGTGCCGTTAACAATTAATGGCACTGAAAGCACAACTATTTCATTATAGGTGTATAAAGGTGGCCATACACAATGCAACCTGATTGATTGTACAATCTCTGTACAGTTTCCTTTATATTTTCCTGAACTATGGAATAGGAGGACCCACCTATCTACCCAATCACTCTGTATCCAATCAGGCAGGCCCTTGCATCTACATAGCTGATGGTAGATCTAAAGGAAATTGTACAATCAAATTGTATGGTGTATGCAAACTTTACAGAACCCAGAACACAATTCTCCTGTTTTTAATATTACAGCTCTATCCACATAGGCTGTTCTCTGTTCATTACGCTCTGCCAAATGACAGATCTATTCAAGATGAAAGTTAAGCAGGCCATACTTGGGTCAAATTCCGAACGATTTTTCGATCGAAAATCAAAAACATTGTTAGTTTTGTAATCCGATATTGCCACCAATGATTTGGAAAATCAGTCGTTTTTCACAAATTTTCCAACATGCCCGATAAATGAAATGGGGAGGAACCATGAAAATCAGCCGGTGCCATTCTAACAGAACGAAAATCGGTTGATTATTCTTAGGTCCAATTTTTGAACGAAAAATCATTCGGAAATTGACACATGTATGGCCGGCCTTAACCACTTCAAGTCCGGACACTTTTACCCCCTTCCTGTCCGGGCCAATTTTCAGCTTTCAGTGCTATCACACTTTGAATGACAATTGCGCGGTCATGCAACACTGTACCCATATGAATTTTTTAGCATTTTTTTGAGACAGATAAAGCTTTATTTTGGTGGTATTTATTCACCACTGGGATTTTTATTTTTTTTTTGCTATATAAATGAAAAAGTCCAAAAATTTTTTAAAAAAAGTGTTTTTCTTATACAATTTTGCAAATAAATAATATTTCATCATAAATCTTGTCCAAAATGTATTCAGTTATCTGTTTAGTAAAAAAAAATAACCCAAGTTAGTTTATACCAAAAATTATAATTTTGTTAATTTGTTATTTACATTTTTATTTTATTTTTTTTATATTATTTATGTTTTTTTTTTACATACTGTCACCTTAGCAGTACAGTGTCACCATGGTGACACTGAACTACTTGTGGGGGGCGATGAAGATTTTTTTTTTCTTACACTGATTGCTTTTACACCCATAAAGGCTGTAAAAGCAATAATTTCTCCTTCTATCTGGCTCCATTCTTGTAGCCATTGAGAACTACTGAATGAGCTGTGATTGGTCACAGCTTGTCACATGGTACAAGGCTGTTGTGAATAGCCCTGTACCATGTGACCTCTGTGATCATTCACAGATTTCACACGTAGTAAGCAATGATGTCAGAAGTGACATCTTGCTTTCTACTCTGCATGTGATCACTGATTGGCCAATCAGTGATCACATGATCGGGACCTCGCGCAGAGGTCCCGTACAATGATCGGTGTTCCACTGTGTCTGGAGGACACAGCGGGCACTGGATCGCGGTGCTGTGCGCTCCCAGGGAGCGCGCACAAGCAGGGGGCGGGGAGGCCGTTTATAAACGGCCACCCGACCCTGCACTGCCACCGTCCGGCCATTTATATACAACGATAACAATCGATGCCTGTGTATTTAGTGAGAAAAGTGATCTCTGATTGCATTTCATGTAATAGTCGTGCACCAGGAAGTTGGTAGGAGGGTAGATGATGCAGGGTGTGTACTAGTGAGATCATTTGGTCAATTCCTTCCTGTATCATGACCTATAGGCTCTGCAGGAAATAAGGCCGAAGTAATGGAAAAGCTTTTAGGACAGCCATCTGGACAGTGACATAAAGGTGTGTAGAAAAAAATGGAAAGCTTTTGAATTTCTAGAAAAGAAGTACAATAATGCTATATTGGTACATAGGGGAGTGGAAAACAAAGTAAACATTTATTATTATAGGTCCTTCTATAGTACCGTCAATTTACGCAGCGCTTTACATATATATTGTACAATCACATCAGTCCCTAAACCTCAAAGCTAGTTCACACCAGATGCAATCCAGTGCATTTGTTTCTGCATCAAAAATGCATGCACAGTGTTTTCCATGTATTCCAATGGCCCTAGTTCACACCAGTGCAGTCAGTTTCCGGAGCAGAAAAGAAAGGAGAACATGCTGCATTGTTTCTGCACAGAACTGTACTGGAAAATAGCAAACTGCATCAAAACTGCACTGGAACTGCGTGTGGTGGGAACTCTAAGCAAAAATGTTTCCGGAATCCATCCGGAATGCGTTTTTGTGGTGTAAGCTGGCCCTCTGGGTGCATACAACCTCAGGTTCTTAACTCAGATTCAGGGGCGGACTGACCATTTGGAAACTCGGGCACAGCCTGAGGGCCCGGGGGCAGGAGGGGGCCCCATGAGATGCCCCTGGTACCTTTTTTATAGGCTTTTTTGAGTTTGGGCATGGACACAGGGGCCCCATGATCCCCTATTGCCTGGGGGCCCCATGAGTTGTCAGTCCACCCATTTACATATTGTAGTATATACCTTAAAGTAACTTTTGTATGATTTTCACATTTTAACTATAGGAAACTGACTGCAGATTAGGCACTAGAGGGACTTGTTAGTGCTACCACACAATTACTCTCTATAAAAATATGTATATTAGATTATCACCACATAGGTGTGCCATGTCTAAGGCAGGTAATAGATGATGCTATTTTTTTTCCTGCAACCAAGGGTGAAAATTGCTTGAGTCCACCATCAACACAGTCAGTGTTGATGAGGGAATCCTTCCAGGGGATCTGTTGTGTTCTCTCGGTGGGGAAGGGCATGGGAAGCTGTCCCTGCTGAGAGAATACAGTGATTATTGCTAAAGGCTATAGCCGCTGGCAATAATTGCATGGTAGAAATTTGACACGCTGATTGTAACCAAGTCGATTGGTGGATCGACTGAGGCACAATCAGTCTGCCATTGATAGATCGAATCCCTGATAAACTGGCTGAGATTCAAACCATCTATGGCTGACTTTTATGACTTAATCAGCTGATTTATAAACTCCCCATTGTGAGAAGGAGCAGCAGAACACAACCTTTGTGTAGTATGTCCAAGCAAGAAGTAAAACCTATGGATTGAGAAATGTTATTGCATCATGTTTTATATGATTACAGGTTATGCATAGAAACCAGGTTTTTAAAATATTAAAGTGGTTCTAAAGGCTGAAGTTTTTTTTTTATGCATGAAGATAAAAAACCTTAAGTGTGAAGCTCCCCCTCAGTATTCCTTAATACTTGCCTGAGCCCAATCTTGATCCAGCGATATGCACGAGAGCAGCAGCTCTCTTGGGTCTCTTCCTCCTCATTGGCTGAGACACAGTCAATTACAGCAAGTGAGGAGAGAGAGGGGGGGTTGGGCTGAGCGAGCCCGAGCCATGCTCTGTGTGAGGTAGCTTGGGAGCAAGCATACACGAGTGCCCCCAGAGCAAGCATCTTGCTCTGGAGGCACTGAGCAGGGGGGAGAAGCCAGGAGCACCGGTTAGGGACCTGAGAAGAGGAGGTAAGGTAATGTAACACCCTGCTATAAATGTCTAATGCAGGATGTTGAAGCAAACACAAGATGGCAGTGTCCTGCAGTAGCAGTCACATGTTGAAGAACAGCTATATGGTAACGATCCAACTGTCACTGTTTGAACATATCTGTCACTGGACACCTCTGACCCCCAAACTTATATCTATTCTTTACTCGCAGCTGAATAATTTTCCAAACCCTAACATTCACACTTATGTTTCCAGATGGGAAAGAGACCTAAAGTATACCAAAGATAGGGAATGTTGGTCACAAATATGGATAACATTATCCTCTTGCTCATTTAATATCCTCACCATGGAATCAGCTTTAAAACGGTCATGAAGTGGTATCTAGTTCCGTCCTATTTAGCACATCTCCACCCTAATGCCCCTGGGACCTGTTTCAGGAGCTGTACTACTCTGGGAGACCCTCTTCATATCTGGTGGACATGCCCCATGCTCTCCCGGTTTTGGACGAAAGTCCTCAAACTTCTGAATTCCTTACTATCATGCTCCTTCCCAAGGGACCCGTGGCATGTCCTCCTGCATTTGAAACCCCAGCGTTTAACTAAAACCCAATTCAAACTGGCTACTTATGTGATACTGATTGCAAAACAA